CGGGCGTATAATTCTTTTGCTGGGTCTTCTGGGTCTACGTGATTTTTCCCCAACAAGCCATTTGTATACACGATGCTCCTGGTAATCTTGGAATACACATTCAAACTTCTGTTTCTTAAATTTTATAAGATAATTTTTATACTTTAGGAGTTCCTCTTTAAGTTTGTCCTGGAACTTTGTCCCTTCTGAAGTTGATAGTAAAGTAGCATGTTATGTTTCCTTTTCAAGTATCTTAAGGAGAATATCTTCCAAATCAGTTTTTACATCCTGTATAATGATCAACATGATATCTAAAGATGCCTTATTGAGGACTGCTGTCCAATCCTTACACATCTTTGCCTTAGCTCTTCCTATGGTTGTAATATTCATGATACGGAAGCCCCTCAGAATCCTCTTAGCTTTATAGATGTCCGAGAGGAATAATCCATGTAAATCTAGATCAATGCGTTTCACTGGTGGTGAGTTAATTTATTTTCTTATGGGCTATATAAATCAGTATTTTATGTCAGTCAGTTATGTATTGATAGTTGATCCTGAAGAAAGCCCCGACCGAGGGCTGAAACGTTCATTTGGTTTTATGGAATAACTTCTAATAAAGAAAACCATTTAACGTCAGAAGACCATAAGTGTGACCATATACGTATTCCTTGCCTGTCCTCATACTTCAAAGTATCAATAGCAATATATAAATAATAAACTGGAATTAATATGGGCACTCACGGTGAGTGATTCTCCATATTATCAAGGTCCCAAAACAGTCTTTCAAATTCTTTGATTATTTTTCATTTTTATTTTTATTTAAACTGTGATGTGGTGGCTATAGTGTCCTCATATATGAATCTGTTTATGATGAAATTTAAGGCGTGCTTATTTGAATAATATTTTTGGTGACCACATGTCACTGTATAAACTTTACATCAACAATTGCATTATCATCTGATGTGAAGTTTGTGCAAGTTTTAAAAAAATAGGAGAAATACACATAGTGTAATCTGTAAAGGAATATAGGTAAATACTTAGTAAGGGCCTCACAATCGGAAGAGCTGTATTAGGCTCTATATTAAGCATCCAAAGTTACCAGTCCAGGCCTCGGTTCCTCAATGCAGCAGAGGTAAAAGCAGGAAATATATATTTACATACATACCTGCATGTTCTGCTCTATGTGTTTTTCTTCTATTTTATTTCAGAGATACCTATTGTGAGTCTGGATGTTTTATGTTATTGATTGGATAGTCGCCATCCTATCATATCATT